AAGGTTGAAAATTCTGCATTCGAATGAACAATAGGCAAACCAGCAGAGAAAGTATTGTTTATACGCATAAGTATCTTTTGGTCATAGTAGTTTCTGTCGACATTCGAATAACACTTTGAACCTAAGTTTGAAACAATATATAAAATAGGTGTGCTTAAAGTCAATGGAACAGACATTCCTTGTATGACACCTTTTCCTGTTATAGGAAACTGTTGGTAGTAAAAACCAGAAATAAGTTTTGTATTATAGCTCATATTGTTTATAGTAAACTCAGTCGGACATCCAAACATAATGAAACCTGCTCTAGTTGCAGCACATGTTACACTCGTCCTTAAAGTATTAAATAAGTCAACAAAACCTGTTGGTGGTATATCTGAGTAAGTATCTTCAAAGGAGTATTTTTTACCATTCACAACAATAAAGTCTTCTGGTGTCAAAAGAGCAAAACAGGCTTTAGTCGTCATTGTGTTTAAGGTTAGTTTACAATATCGTCCTTGAGGACTTTGTAAGTTTGTTGTTATAGAATTATATGACTCAGGGTTTTTAGTCGTAATAGTATAAACCATTGTGTCTTCTGCCATTTACTTAGCAAATAAATTTTAATGAAATGTTGTGGTCGTCAAATATTTTTATAACGTCTGGGAAACTATATTTTAAGTTCAACGTTTCACCTCCTTTCATAACGTATATCTTGTCAATGACATTATATGAAACACCACAGCAACTAACGTCGGGTTCTATTTCTTTGATGTTTATATCGTCTGCCTCTGTCAAAAGTTTCAATAGTTCTTTCAAAACTTCATGAGGTGCAATGACATATGAGTTCACTTTTACAGGGTTGTGTTCGACCAAGTTTAACATTATACCTAAAGCTTGACAAATCTTCTCCTGAGTTTTAAGTTTGTCTTTAAGTTGTTGGTAGTCGTTTCGAATATCTGCAACAGAACTTAAGTCTCTGCTAACTTCAGGATATGTTGGTTGTTCTTTTACAGGAACAATTGCTATACCATCTTCGTCTTCGTATGGTTTCCCCACTTCAACATCTCTTTCTTTGACATTGACAACAACACTTTGACTGTTTGTTTGAGTTGGTGAATTTAACTTCACATCTGCCATCGCCATTAAACCTTTTGAAACACTTACGCTTCTATTTTTCGGAAATGACATTTTACTTAGAATAAAAAGATGGACGTATTTGAGTATCTCTTCGAATTGAAGCAAAACAAAGTTTACACACACAAACAATACAAATACATTGACAGAATAGTTCTTTATACAAACAATGGAAAATGTTATAGAATAGCAGTCTTTGCTGAACCAAAATATTTTCATAAAGCAAAGAAAGTTGGTATAACCGAGATGGTGAAAGTTCTTGAAGCAGACAAAAATATAACAACAAAACTGACCGATATTTCTAAAGGTAAGTTTATAATACAATTTTATGTCAAAACTGGCGTACTGTCAATATTTGACGGAGAGAAGTCAGTTCAAGAACAACTTACTGACCTGCTGCCAAAATCTGCTCGATGGAAGCTGTCGTTATGCCAATCTGAGGAGCCCCAGCAGGTTTCATCGAACGAATCTTCAAAAGAGCATCTTCCGTGAAAAGTGCTATTGGTTTTGTAAACTTCTTTGCTCTCAGTTCATCTGGACCGTCTCTGTCACCAGTATATTGTATTTGTACAGTACCAACAGTTGAAATACCACCCATAAAGTCTTCTGAGTCAGCAAATGGAATGCCAAGCCAAAAGTTTGAACGGTCTCCATTTGTATATTGAGTTTTTTGACCTCCTGTATGAGTCCATACTTTCACATATGGCATAATAGAACTTTGCATTTCAGGGTTTATGGTTGTTGTGAAGTTGTTGTTAAAGTTCATAGCATCTAATGTCAAGTTGTATGACCTCATATCCTCAACTGTAGAATATTCTTCTCTTGGATAATATTTGCCATCTATGTTTTATATATTTAATACCGGGGTTGTAGAAACAAGAATAGTCATTTATAGTTCGTCTGAACAGTACAAACATAGTATCTGCATGTTTCATTGCAGTTGTTAAGGCAATATCTGTTCTTGCACCTGGGTCAGCACTTTGGTTTCCAACTTCACCTGCAAAGTCTTTGACAGATATTTGGTGTATAGGGAACATAAGTGGAACTGCAATATATTTGGCAGCTAAAGCATTTGAAATATCTGGGTCCAACATATAGACTGCAAGTCTGCTTTCTATTCTCTTGCATTCAAACTTTTCGCATGTGAACTTAACTGGGTCCCAAGCATCTCCAGCAGCATTGAAATAATAGTTTACTTCAGTGTTGAGGTTTGAGAAACCAAAGTCTAAGTCAACTTTGTTTTTGCAAAAGTCGGCGAATGACATTTTATTTGTTCCACTACTTCTGTAAGAGTGAATGGGTCTTGTGTTGGTGCAATGACTAAGTTATTTTTGCTTGGAGTAAGTTCGATAGAAATTTTTCCTGCCCAGTTTGGCAAGTATCTTAAAAACCTGAAGATGAGGAAAGATGACAAAGGAACTCTAAGTTTCAGTTTTACTTTGGTTACTGCTGCTGCAGTTTGTCCAGAAAGGTTAACATAAACTCCTGGAACGTTAGGGTCAAGTCTTCTTATTTTCTCAATGGTGGCATACTGGTCTGTTTGTTCTCTAGCTTGTGGTTGTACGGAGTTTCTCAAAGCGAACCATTCATAGTTTGCCCATGTTACTGTTTGAACTAAGTCAGAGTTAGAATATATCTTATATCCCATAAAAACTTCTGGAGCATATTGGTATCCGACATAGAAAATTCCATTGCAACCTTTCTTGTCAGACAACCTGGCAGAAGGTTTTATTTCAATGTCTTGTTCCACGTATAAGAATGAGTTGTCAATAGAAATAATGTGAAACCTGTCGCATGCAATATCTACTGTTGTTGAAGAACCTTCTCCAAACTCACCTACGTTTCCATAAGAAACAGCAGTTGTATATTCGTAAGTTCCAGGAACTATTTCTGACCTTCTAATGGCATTGTCGCATTCGTTATACCATTCGGAAACGTTTCCGTTCATGGCATCCAAAACTGTTGGCGTTATATTCTGAGCGGCGTACATTTCATATGAGTAAAAATATAGAATAGTTGGATTTATATGTCATAATAGAACCCACGTGGACCACGCTTTACTTTCTTCCTGGCTGAGTTTTTAACTCTTCTTTTTCCTTCATTGCCACTACTTTCACTAGATGAAGTTACTTCTTCACTACTTTCACTTTGTTCTACTCTTCTCTTCTTCTTTGGTAACTTGCCCTCTGCTTCAAGTTGTTGCATCTTTGCCTCATGTTCACCTAGTATGTTGTAAATTTCCCATGTCCTTTTTGCCTTTGGGCTCTGGTCGCCCATCTCAGGTACCCTATATCCTAGAAAGAGTTTGTCATAGTTTGTATTTGAGTCTTTGCGTATTGTTTGCATGACTCTGTCCTGAGTTTCCGGTTCAAGCTCTTCAAACAGTGCCTGTCCATATGGAATATGCTCGTTTCCAAATATATGTTTTTGTAGCCATTCTGGTTTTCTTTCCATGTTACCAACTATATCTTTTGTGAATGGGAAAGCTTTTACCCAATCTTTCAGTCTTTCGTCATTTATTTCTGTAGTTGGTTTTATTTTGTCAAGGAACATGTTTTTCAATACTAACATTTCATTTGGTACTGTCCATTTGAGTTTTCTTAAATATTCATCCCTTCTCGGTTCATTGTCTGCAAAGTAAGTTTTTATGACATTTTGTAAACTTTCGTTTGCAAGGTCATGTACAATAGGTTCTCTTCCTTCTCCCTCCCTAACTTTCTTTCTAAACTCTTCACCAAATATACCATCTCTATGGTTCTGTGTAGTTCTTTGAGATAAATGTTCTAGAACGTCAGGTGTTATATTTCCATCAGCCATGTTCATTTCATACTGGTCCAAAATATCTGCATGTTTCATATCTTTCAATGGCATTAAAGCCGCGCTTAAAATACCAGCTATATCTTGTTCACCATTGACTTCCATTGCGTCTACAACTTCTTGGAATTGTGGTTGTAAGTTTATGAACCACCTATCCGGGTTAGCTTTATGACCCCATCTCATTGTAGTTCCATCGTCTGCAGAAACAAAAGTAGGTTTGTTTCCATCTTGGTTAGGTTCTGAATGAACTTTAAACAATGTTTCATTTCTATATGTTTTCTTGAAATTTAACCTTTTATCTTCACCGAGTTCATCCGAAGATTGAACGTTAAATGCTCGTAAGTAAAAAGGGTTGTTGTATTTGTGTACATTTTTTTTCAGTTCTTCCATTCTATGCTGAATATTTTCATCTGATGTTGGAGTCTTTTGTATGTCGGCAAACATTTTTCGATATTCTTCTACTATGTCAGCCGAATTTTTTTTAGACTCTTGGAAATATTCCATATTCTCCGCATACTCTTGTTGAGGGTCAAGATTTTTCGGCTGTTCCAAATCTTCATCTAGTTCTGTGAAGTTAGTTTCCAAAGGAGGGACTTGTTCGTTTCCTTCAGGCTCTTCTAGCTGTTGTTGCTGAACTATTTCTTCCATGTCTGGTTGTATCTGAACTTCTTCCTGTGGAGTTTCTTGTACCTCATCTGCTGGCATTTCATATATTCCGAGACCGTTTTCAACAATTTCCCTATCTACGTCATCCGCATTCATAAGCTTTTGTTCTTTCGTTCCGTCTCTATTTTTTACGCGTTTCATGACGAAAGTTGAATTGTCATTTAGCTCTGACATCAAATATCTCGGAGTAAATTCATCCATGTCATTTGGATGATATGCTATTAAATCATATCCCTTAGCGAGCTTGTATTTTCCAGGTTTGAGATTATATCCGTTTTGGTGCTGAGCCATAAAGCTAAATAGGTTCGGGTCAGTATTTCCATCCTTGAACTTTCCAATAGCTTCTTTATATCTGTCACTAAAGTCAACAGTATCTGGGAAACCACACTCTTCTTTAAGCATTTTTAAGAATTCTTGGTTTCCTTGTTCTCTACTTCTTTTATGTCCTTGCTCTGTTTGTGGTTGCTGTGCTGGTTGTGGAGGTGGTTGTTGTGCAGGGTTTTGAACTGTTGGTTGTTGTGCTGGTTGTGGAGGTGGTTGTTGTGCTGGTTGTTGTGCATGCCTGTGTCTGTGTCCATGTGACGATGTAAATGTTCTAGGTAGTCCTGGTGCAGGTGCTTCTCTTGGAGGGTTTGGTGGTATATAAGTTCCACCAGCTGGCACATATGTTCCATCTGCAGCGTAATGTCCTACCTGACTTTTCGTTTTTAAGAAAGCATTTACTAGGTCTGTTTTGGTCTGTTGTAACTCTTTTTCTTGACTTTTCACAACAGTTGCTCTAACGGCGTCATAGGCACTTTGAACTGCCTGTCTCGTTGCTGCATCTGTTATTTTCGTCATATTTTGTGCTACTTCTTTTAACTCTTTGTCGAAACCTTCAGACTTCAGTTTCTTTCCAGATGAGAAGTCGTTCACTTGTTTCACCTTACTATGAAGAGCTTCGAAGGCGTTCTTAAAGTCAGCATTTGTTAAAGCTTCATTTGAACTGTCTTCATCCGCTTGTATTTTTGTCCTTATTGACCCTATAAGCTGGGCTGCTTTAGCGTTGGCTTGGGCATCTAACCAGTCATTGTTAGCTTTTATATATTCTGCGCTTTTCATTGCCTTTTGCATGGCTGCGTCGTTATTTTTACTTTCTTGTGCTAAGTTTTCATACTGTACGGTTTGGTTTTGCAACTGTAAAAGTTTTTCTGCCTTTACATTTGCTTCAACTTCTTTTTTATACTCATCGCTATCCATATATGTCTTCAGGGCTTTTTGTTTTATCTCTTCATCTTTCAGTATTTTATATTGAGTAGTATGGTTTTTCAAATTTATGACATCTTGTTCCATTTTTGCTACTTCTGTTGCTTTTTCTGACACTTTTTTCGCATATTCCTCTGTACTTAGTTCTTTCAGTTGTTCTTCTTTCTTCTTTTTCTCTACGTTTAACTCATTGAGTTTCTTTGTGTGTCTGTCATATTCTAGTTTCTTTTCGTTTTCACTTATTTGCTTCTGTATGTCTATGTTTGACTTTTTGACATCTGCTATTTGATTTTTGAGTGAACTCAAATTCATTTGACTTTGAGGGTTATATGCTGTTCCGTCTGCAGCTCCACCATAGCCTGCCATTTTCGCTAAAAGTGCCGCTCTTAAACCTCCACTCTGTGCACCAATAACTCGGTTTAAAAGCATAGGGTTGCTTGACATTTGTTGCAACATAGTGGGGTCATTCAGCATTTGTTGTTGCAACTGTTGTTGTGGTGTCAGTCTTACTATTGGATGTTTCAATGCTCTCTTCCTCTTACGTATATTCTTACGTAGCTTACGTGGCATTTTAAGTGAAGTTAAAAAGCGGTTTTTGACAGATGTTTATATGACACTTTTTGTTCAGCACAAAAAACTACTCGGTCAAAGTGTTGTCAGTTTTGTAAAATAACCGTCCTATCTCATTCTATAAGGGGGAAAAGGCTTCTCAAAGTACTTCCTTGGAACGCCTGTAACTTTTCCTGTAGCGACGATAGACCCTTACTTGTCCGGACAAAGTTATACTATTTTGAGTGCTCTACAAAAAAGTCAACGGCGACGACTCTCAAAAACCGTTGTGTAAAAAGTTTTACCGTTGGACAAAAAAGTATGTATAGAAAACAAAAAACGTTTATAGTTCATTCAATATTTGAGATGGAACGGTTTGCCAACGGAGACCTTTCAATAAAATAAAAAAATAGAGGGGGTTACCGTTGACGAAAACGGTTTATTTTAAACTTTTCTATGAGTAGTCCGAAAAAAACAGTTTATTTTTGTCTAATGGAAGCCAACATTAACAATTCTCAACCGCTAACCAAAGCCAAAGCCCCACAACCTCCAAGAACTGGCACAGCTGTTAGAATAACCGCCAAAAAGTCTAACAGCGAATTAAGAGAAATTCTTCAACAAATTTGCTCTAAATATCTCAAAGACGCCGAAGAAAACACACAACCAGACGCTATATACAATACTCAGTTCTGTGAAGTTCTGAACAAAGCAATTGCTAGTTCAATTGAACTTACTAAGACAATTCCAAGTCCAATTGAGCTTAGCGATGTCTTAGTTCAGTATTTTCCAACATTTACTAAGCTCATAATGTTGAGAACTTTATACCAAGTTCGTCAAAATCTTCCTCGTTACATGCAACGGTCATTCGACAAGAGAATTGCCGAATTCCAAGTCTTTAGTTACGGATATGACCAAGATGAATACACTGACGAGTTCGGAGACAACTGTACAAAATGGTTTGAATGCTATACGACAACACAATTTGAATTCGACTTTCTCGAATTCAACGCAGCAACCATTCATATCATTGCTCTTTACCTTTCCGAACAACAACAAGACCTCGCAGATGGAGATGTTGTTACTGTCGTCATGGAAACTCCTGAACAATTCGGAAAAAAGAAGTCTCTAATTGCCAAATTTGTTCCAGGACATCAGCTTTTCCAACGCACAGAAGTCTTCTGTATTCCTGGAACTAAGTTCTTTGTCAAGAGCGAACTCAAAGAAAGATATAATGTGTCATTCAATTACACATTATATAATGTTTTCGACCCAGAAGAAGGCTTCTTCCCAGAAGCAATGGAGGAAGAAGAAGAGGAGGAAATACAAGACTCTATCCAAGAAGAGTCCTCCGAATTCACACCAGAAGACTAACAATTTTCCGAATAAAAACTTCATTTTATACTAAACATCTTCGGGGCTAGAAGGGGCGCAGCCCCTGGAAGCCCCAATACCTTTTTTTTTTTTTTTTTTTTTTTTTAAACATTAATATTTATATTATTATAAAATAATTGAACACCATATGTTTTTGTATACTTTTACAAAAAAAATTGATAGATTTGTGATACCGTACACTGAAAAACCACAAACTTATTCAATTGGTTAGAGACTGGATTTGAATGGACTTTTCATAGAACATTAAATATTATAATGTTATTGCAAATACGATATAGATCATAATTTTAAAATAAAAAAATTTGCGGTTAATTCTCTTTATCAAAAATTAAAAAAGTGAAAAAAATTATGAGAAGTGTTATTTATTCTTATAATGGATCGTATAAAACATAAAAACAAGCATTTTTAAAAATGACGTTATTTGGCACTTTTTCCAAATGAAGGTCCAAACCAGAGAAGTCACCAACAAATAAAGAGAATTACAATTCCAATGAAGCAAAGATCAAGGTAAGTGGAGCACTAAATATTTGCCATTGAAGTTATACCAAAATGTTACTAACCGTCAACTTATGTGAAATAAATTGTCAATGTAAAGGAGAACATTATAATTTGAATGGTGCATATGTATAAGATAGTGAAGACAAGACCATCTGTAATACTTTCATTATTGAAATTCAAATGTGAAGTCAAATTATTAGAATAATCTATACTACCAACCGAGATTAATGTATTTCTAATCGACCAAATATAAAGTTCAATGTTGAACTAAATATCTGTATTACCATCATGACTTGAATCTAAAAAGTGAGGTCAAGATATTAGATTAAATCAACTTTACTCTACGTAAAATAGAGTCAGCCTCAACCAAAAGGTACAACTATTTTGTTAATACTTTGCTGTTTGCATCCCAAAGCAGACAGCGATGCATGACGTCAAATAAATTAAAGTTACCATCAATATGTGGAATGTAGTTTCGTCCATACTGCATCCAAAAGACCTGAAGCAATACAGCTTCAGAGTTTAACCACTTGCTACTGATAAAGTTCTCCCTTTGCACGATAACACGCATCGGAATAAAGGGCGAAACGGATCTACTGGATGCAATCCTGTCGCCTGGAAAGCAGATTTAATGTTGGTAGGTGTACATGCGAATGCAATTGCATCCAAAAAGGCAGTAATCATTAAATACCGCAGTTCCTTTGCTGTATAGTTCGCAGCTTGAATGATATGGCCTGTTGCATCGATACGAATGCAACTCCTATCAAACATTCTTTTCCATTCTGCCTTGAGGGGCGAAAATATGCCCACATCCAATGGCTGAAGGATGTGGGACGTATGCCCTGGCAAAATAAGGAGATCAATATTAAAAAGTTCAAGAAAGCGAAGAGTCAAATAGTTGCATCTTGAACCGTGCCCGTCAACTATCAAGAGAAATGGTTCTTGTGCATCCATAGGGTTCATTGTCGCCCTTCTTGCCTGCACCTCAACTATGAAAAGGATACAGTAGTACAAGAACAGTTGTGTATTGATCCAACCGGATTGCAACATAACGAAGAAGGCGTCGAGTCCTTCTAAGCCTTCATCAAGAGTTTTCTTGCGAGGAATGATAATCATCGGTTTCATTATCGTTCCATCCCCGAAGATCGTGAAGCAGCCTGTTAGGTGTGACAGGTGCAATCTCTAAGGGCGAACAGGCCTATTGCGGCCTGTTGTCAGAACCCTATATTTCCTGGCCAACATGACATTGTTTGGGTCGGTTCCATTTTTTTCTTATCGTTCAAAAATTTTCCATTTTTTTTCTGCCAAAATCGCTATTTCGCCACTGGATATATCTGGAGCCATAATCACAGCGGCATTTGTCTTAACCTTGTGTGTATGAGCATCTATTCGTTTTTCGCGGATGTTGACTCGTTATATAACCTATCAAATTTTGAGATTAGGGGAAACAGGTTGAATATTTAAGGTATTAATAAGGTTTGCCTTTTTGATTATGGTTGAGATATTTGTTTGAATAAATTAGATGTATGAGTTAAGAATGTGATTTGCATCAAAGAGGGAGAATCGATAATATATGTTTTTTATATGTCCCTTTGGTTAGTATTTGTTAGTAGAAGTTGGAGATAGTGTGGAGTTGGGAATATAACAAAGAATCAGAGATTTAAGTTGTGAATTTTAGAGAAAAGAGAGTGAAGGGGTCCTTTCTCAAGGTCAGGGCCCCCTTCTAGTCTTTCTGGTGCCAGAAGGAGTGGCTTTTGCCAGTATTGCCACTCCTTCCAGCATCATCTTTGCATTTCGCAATTGTCGCGGCAAGTGCATTCTGGCACCGCAGTTGCACTTGCCGCGACATATGATTGCGAGTGTCTGCTGCTCAGCCCCGGATTCGCAGCAGACACTCGCAATGCGAAGCAAAGTTCGCCAGAAAGACCGGGAAGGGGGTCCTTTCTCAAGGTCAGGGCCCCCTTCTAGTCTTTCTGGTGCCGGAAGGAGCGCTTCTGACCGGTCTGGGCGCTCCTTCCGGCATCATCTTTGCATTTCCACCCTGATTATTAAATTGTCAGGCTCTGACCTCTTCAGAGGCCAGAGCTTCGTTTTGTAATTGTCCCACGGCCGGATTCCGCTCCTGCCGCCCGGGATAAGGGCGGCATTTGGGGAAGCCGGCCCTGAGTATTTAAAACGAAGCTCTGGCCTTTGCTAAGGCCAGAGCCTGTATCTGTATGTCTTTCAGGGCCGAGTTCTTGCGAGACCGTCGACATGATCGACGATCATCGCAAAACTCGGCCCTGAGGATGAATTTTGCAGGCTCTAGCCATTCCTAAGGCCAGAGCTTCGTATAAAGGTTCTCTCGGGACTGGATTCCTCTCCGGCCGCCCCGAATCAGGGCGGTCTTTGAGGAAACCGGCCCCGAGGATGGTTTGCGAAGCTCTGGCTTCAGGAAAGGCCAGAGCTGTGAGTTTCATGAAGAGCCAAGTTCCTCTCGGATCATTCCTAATGAGGACGACCGTCGAGGAACTTGGCTCTGAGAAAATGAATTTCGAATGTGACATTCTTGCTACAAAGTGAAAGCTTTTCAAGAAAGGAGTTTAAAATCGTAAGATTCATAATATGGCCTTGCTATTAAGAATATTTTTATTGAAATAACGATTATTTATGATCATCGTCACTTTTTGTAAATTTGATTTGGAATGGCTTATTCGTTCTCCGAATCTGGCCACTCCCAGCCCTATTTGAGTTTATGAACAAACTCAAATAGGGCTGTTAAAAACATTCTTATATTATAGTGGTCGCCTATCTTTATCAGATAGGCGACCAAATTTCAAAATCCTCATAAATACGAAAATTTTACAAAATAATGGCAGCCACATATAACTATGTGGCTGCCATTCGATATTTACTTTGTTTGGAGCTTGTTTTTTCAGGTAATGCTTCTGAATTTTGGCACTACCTGAAAAATCGAGTTTCAAACAAAGTAAACCGAATATTTTAAATAGAATACATACAAAAGACTACTTGCTTTTAGTTTTCAACGCGGCCGTCAAATTGTTTTGATGGCCCCATTCAAAACCAAAAGAAAATAGGCTTTTTATACATTAACATAGTAGGCCTTCACAATGAAGGTCTGCTATATTTATTTTTACTTTAAATTTCATATAATAAATCTCAAGTCCAATATTTTCAACAATAAACTACAAATATAACTCAATACTTATAACTACCTCTTTGAAAAAAATTCATACACATAATATTACAGATAAATTTTATGAATCAGATTATACTGATGAGTAAAATTTTAGTTTCAACTAATGATCTTTCAATATGTGTTTTGTTACTATAAGCTTATTATTCCCCATTAAGAATTGCGTCTTTTTGAGAAATTTGATTATCATAATTTTCAAACATACTCTTTTTTTCATAAACACACACATACACTAACAGTGCTCCTATAGAAAAATCACATGCATATATAGAAATAGTTCAAACACACATATTTTGTCTCATATAATTAATTGCGACTATAAAACCATGAGATATTCAAATAACACACATATAAAATAATTTTTGTACACTCGAAAAATATGCGCACACTGTGTTTTCATCCAATAACTCAATATTTGTTGTTAATTAAAAGATATAACTTGAACTTTTTTGTAAGTGCTATGTTTGAATATATAGATAATAGCGCATTATATTGCTGCTTCTACCTGCAAAAGATCATGGATATATATAGAATATTTAAAGACTTTTCCGTTACCTTACCATTTTTTGTTAGCAAAATTTACTAAATTTTTCTGACAGTGGTAAAATTTGATATATTCCCGCAGTTCTCATAATAGCCCTTGAGAGAGTGGAACGACCAATACCAAAATGGCGTTGGATGGTAGTGTATGAATCTCCTGCAACTCTCATTAAAACCAGATCCAATTGCTCTCGAGAGAGATAACCAGAGTTAAGGTGCGCTTGCAGCTCCTTAAAGATCGGGGTTGCCATGAAGGCGATTACTTTTTCCATCAGAACAGAATGAATTTTTAAACGATATCTCCTTCAAAATGTGGTCTGGGACCACAATTTTTCCTTGAATTTTCGAGTCATTCTTCATCGTATAAAGAATTTCGATGAATACTATTTTATTGAGATGTTCTAATATATTAATGATTTACTCTGGTTTCCAAGGGATAAAAAAGATTTGACCTATCGTATACTCGAGTTACAGCTGAAGGCAAACCCAAATTTTAGCTAAAAGTGACAGGGGAAAAAAAACGTTTATTATTAAAAAAAAAGACCGATGAGAGCTTCGTTCGAAATATAGAGGGAACTGAGAATGCGCAACCATTCTCAGGGAATATTGGATGCTATTCCCGTTCCCTCTGTATGGAAAATTGAGGTTTTCAAAGGGAGTTAAAATAATATCAAATTTATACTAATTTACTTCAAAATACAAAAGTATTTGACAGCTAAAATTAGTTACTTTAGCAAGCCTATCAATACCCTTTTACGATTATTGTTACTTTTTCGAAATAAAAGTAAAAACAAATTTATACTAATTTACTTCAAAATACAAAAGTATTTGACAGCTAAAATTAGTTACTTTAGCAAGCCTATTAATACCCTTTTACGATTATTGCTACTTTTTCGAAATAAAAGTAAAAACAAATTTATACTAATTTACTTCAAAATACAAAAGTATTTGACAGCTAAAATTAGTTACTTTAGCAAGCCTATTAATACCCTTTTACGATTATTGCTACTTTTTCGAAATAAAATAAATTTATTATCAAAACCCTTTTTTTTCTTAGTAAAAATAAAATGTTATTTTATATCAAGTTTTTATTCATAAATTTTTATAATGTTGTATAAATTTCATTAAAATTTACGTACATATTAAGGTACTTATCTTCTACATATATAATCTTCATTAGATATATACATGATAAATAAAATTCATAAAACATTAAAAATCAAAAAATTAGATGAACCTTGGCAATTAAACTTTATTAAATAATAGTTGTTTATAAATTATATTATATTATTATTTAATATTATTTTGATAATGAAGATTTTATTTTGCAATAATATAAACGAAATTTTTTACCTTATGAACTTTTGATGGAAATATGCAAATTTAAAATAATAAAGAAAGCCGCGAGCGAAGCGATCGGCTTAGTTCGAAGATTTTGATTCAAATCTTTGCTGATCTGTAATTCGCGGAAGCCGCGAGCGAATCGAGCGGCTTAGGTCTAAGATTTTGATTCAAATCTTTGCTTATATTCCTTAAATTCTTTATGAAATTCGCAACAGTTCCATAAAAAATTTTAAATTCTAAACTGCCGAAATTACCGATCAGTAATCACACCCTTCACGGGTGTATTATTTTTAGAGGTGTGTCACTTTTAGCTAAAATTACCCCTACTCTAAAAAAAAAAAAAAAAAAAAAAAAAAAAAAAAAGGTAGTGGGGCTTCCAGGCACTTCGTGCCTTCTAGCCCTGAAGATGTTTAGTATAAATGAAGTTTTTATTCGGAGGGCTTCCAGGCGCGTTGCGCCCTCTAGCCCACATAAATGAAGTTTTTATTCGGAGGTCTTCCAGGAGCTTTTCACAAATTATATATGTTTTCATGTTTTGTCAAGACTTCTTCGTAAATGTTTTGTCAAGACTTCTTCGTAAATGTTTTGTCAAGACTTCTTCGTAAAATCAGACAAAAAATATTTTTAGGGTAGAAGGGTATATCTAACCTCTTTTCTAACCTCTTTTCTACCCTCTTGAATTTTCATGAAATTTACACCAAAAATATATTTTAGGGTAGAAGGGTATATCTAACCTCTTTTCTAACCTCTTGAATTTTCATGAAATTTACACCAAAAATATATTTTAGGGTAGAAGGGTATATCTAACCTCTTTTCTAACCTCTTTTCTACCCTCTTGAATTTTCATGAAATTTACACCAAAAATATATTTTAGGGTAGAAGGGTATATCTAACCTCTTTTCTAACCTCTTTTCTACCCTCTTGAATTTTCATGAAATTTACACCAAAATATACTACTAGGGTCATTTACGAAGAAATCTCAACAAAGTCTTTACGATGAAGTCTTGACAAAGTCTTTACGAAGAAGTCTTAACAA